GCATGGAATTGAGTGAACAAACGCATAGCGTAAGGTCAGTTTTACACAGGGACGCAGATCTAGCAGAGGGACATGATTGTACACCTTCACAATAGATATAAAGAGGAACAGGATATTTTCTTTCCTTTACACAAAGGCATTGAAAGAAAATGCTACGTGGAAGCTTTGTCATCTGCACAAAACAAGGAGCGCTGAGATAGATTATGAGACGGATATACTGGAAGATCACAGATGGTTCATGAATTCCCCTGTTTGCTGTTCAAGCACTAAACAAAAATTGAAATAATGTGACCCTGACCCCTCTAACCTGTGCATGTATTTTATGTGGGAGAAATGTTCCCAAAGCATGTCATCTACCCCGGGAAAAGTGTTTCAGATCTTTTGCTGTTGCTGGTCCATTTTTAAAGCAGAATTCTAGTTTTTTTTTAAATGCAATTCAAGTCAGTTGGCACCTAGTTAACTAGTGTGTTGGCATTCTATTCTAAATGAGCCATAGCATACATCAACAGACGATGCATAGAGTCATGCATTTTAGTAACTTGCAGAAAAATGAATTTCCACAGCACGGTGTGAAGGTGGTCTGAACTAAACATATCTTGGTGTACTGTATACTAGTGGTTCTCAACCTGCGTAACCTCAGGACCCACATTTGTCTCTGGTCATTAAGTTGCGACCCAAGTCGCACTGCAGTGGAATGCACAGCATTGCGGTACCGCACATTCCGGTGCGGGCGGGGGAACTGTGGGTGGGAGGTGCATTTGTGGTCCCATTCAAATGAATGGCAAAGCAACACACCTCCCACACCAGAATGCACAGTAGGTGCGATTGCGTGGTACAGTTTATTAATGACACGGTACTATGCGATTATTGCACTGTTTTAGTGTGAATGGGCCATCAAACACACTGAGGTGTGTGTGTGTGTGTGTGCGCGCACAACTACAGACACAATCTCACGGACTCAGACATTCTCGCACGCACACATACACACTCCAAAAAAAAGTTTGCTTTTATTTTTAAGGTCCACCCAGTTTCTCTACCTTACAAGAACTGGAGAGGATCCTCAGCATGGGGTCCAGTGTGGCCTGCTGTGCTGTGGCAGAGCTCCATCCATATGTGCTTGTACAGCTCCCTTGCTTGTCCTGTAGAGGTGCCGGGAGTCAGAATATGTTGTCAATTCAGTCCAGGCACCACTACAGGACAAATGAGGACAATGTATGTATGGAGCTCCCTCACGGCCATACCCCCTGCCCACCCCACCTCAAGCTGACACTGCACCAGGCAGCATATTTTGAATGGATGCTTGGTGCAGGAACTGACAATGCTGCGCTAGGGGGAGGCTGGGGAACCTCTCACCTAGAAAAGTGGATAGAATGTGGCGACCCACTGAACAAGGGGTCGCGACCCACTTTTGGGTCATGACCCACAAGTTGAGAACCAAGGGTGTATACCCTCCTAAGTTGCAGGGTTGGACAAATCCCAGGAGACAGGTAACCAAAGCTACTTAAAAATTACTGCTGGTTCCCAGATTTTGAGGTTTTCTCGAGTTGTCAATGGAGCTGGCTCCTAGGAAAAAAAATCCTCCTGGCTCCATATACCCTGTATTCTGTGTTCTGTGTCAAAAAAATAATATAGGTTCATGTCTGGTTTTAGTTCCATTGCCTTGCATTTCCAGCCCATGTGCGTGTTTTATTTCAGCCAAATTGTACAGTGTGATTGGGGACTAGGGCACTGTTCACCTGGGGGGACACTGTGACACAGCAACAAGTCACTTGGTTATATGTCGGTATCAACGTCAGACATGGCTACAATGCTCCCTTGGTAAATCTCATCTGCCCACAAAGAGGAAGTCAAAGAATAATGACAACAGCAGGTTTTTTGTTGTTTTTTTTTCTCTGGGGTTCAATTGTACAAATACTCTTTAAGGCAATGGTTGTCAACTTACAATGGGCATCAGCTGTTGCTCCTGACCGCTCCAAAGGGCCGCACACAACCAGTATATGACTTCAGACATTCTAGAGATGATGATTAGAGACTACATACATGCAACAGGGGTGGTGGAAGACTAAAGACACACTATAGGAGATAGTCAGGGACTGGGGACATGCTACATGAGACCAGTTGTTATGGCCTCAAAATGCTCCAACTACTGACTGCTAGAGTCTGCAAAGGGTAGCGCAGCAAGTACAAATGTGGCCCTCGGCCCACAGGCTGGGCACCAGGGCTCTGATTGTACAATGTCCTTAAAGGGGTTCTAAACCCTCTTTTTTTTGCCTATATCTACCGCTAGCAAGCGGGCGGCCGCAAAGCATCTTGGGGCGGACGCATGCGCAGTTCAGATTCTCGGGCAGGAGACTAGCAAAGATGCAAGGTAAGTCTATGGACGCGTGCACCCGCATGCAGACAACGCTGGATTGGAAGTGCCTGCAAGGACAGAGGAGTCAGCGCTGGATCGGAGAGCCGCCGCACCGCTGGAGGGACAGATAAAAAGGTCAGGAAAGAAGAGGAAGATCGGATTAAGAAACCTCATTTAAGGTAAGTGCTGACATTAACATTGGGGGAGGGAAAAACATTTTTGACGTTTATGTCACTTTAAGATGGACCATCAGATATGTAGTGCAAGGCCTGCCTGATTTGATACTAATTGAATTGATTGTTTAGGTTTGTTCTCGTATTATATAGTATTGGTAAATGTAAAGGAGAGGGCCTGCTTCACATCTATTCTTCAACCTGTCTTACCACAACTCACGTACCACGGTATGTTGCAATGTAGTTTATTTTGAATGGCACCCCAAGATGCTAAACTAGTAGGCACTGGAAGCAAATGCATTGCAGTACACCACATGCCACGGTAACGCACTTCTGTGTGTTGTGGCCCATTGCAGCAGCAACAATAGTTCTGGCCTGATTTATGATCTGTTGTGTTAGAAGCCCATTCAAATGACTAGATTGCCATAACACATTGCGTGTTCCCTTTGGTGGGTGAACCACAACAGAACAATCAGGTTTTTCTAATCACCGAATGACGTGTGCTACTCACTGCTAGAAAAAAAAAATATATACGTCTCAAAAATAATGACGCACGTCTTGCGTTTTCAATCACACAGTTTTCCCAAGATCTCTGGCCAATCAGAGTGCTCTGTAATTGATAGCCATTCCAGCTTGGTTTAGGCAAAAGCTCTGGGACATGAACTGTCAGAAAGAAGAGATCACACAGGAGGGAGCATCAGATGGGAAAGTCAGGCAGCAGATCTATTGGCTATGGCTATGGTTATGAGTGGGTTAAGGATCTCTACTGATATGAAGCCAGTTCTTCATTCAGAAGGAAACATTTGATGGACAGATATTAATGCAGCGGCTGAATCCATTGAACTATGTTGTAATATTGCTGCTTTGTCTTTTTTATGGGTTTGCAGGTTTTGTGCATCTAGTGCTCCCTTCTCCCTCTGAAGTACCATCACATCTCTTCAGTAGTCTGGAAAGTTGGCAGATGTTAAAGTGATTACTTATTTCGGAAATGACAGTGTTGTCATGAGAGCAAGAGGGGAAATCTTTGAATGGGGACATATTTTTCTGTGACAAGTCTCTAAGATTGGAATTCCTCTCCCTTTTGGGATTATTTTCTGTCACCTCTTGTTCTGTCTGGTATGGGTTTTAACCCCTCCCTACTAACCAAAACTAAAACAAGAAAAAAGTTTTGGTTATACATTCCTTTTCAAAAATGTTGCTCAAGAACACCCTTGAACATTGGGGCCTTTGCCATAAGTTGGTTTTTAGGCATAAGCCTACCACATCTCACAGTACAAGGTGGAAACCTCAAAATAAGTCACTGATGCACCTCGTTGCATTGTAGGTTGGGGGCAAGGTGTACAAAAACCTCTAGATTTCTCTGATGGCGATTTGGGAGCTCCCGGGAACACTGGAAAGATAAAGGTATCAGCTTTTGGTTCTTGTTTACCTAATGACAAGATTAGTATTTGATGTCATATTATGTTATTTCACAAAGCTTGTCCTAAGGCAGGTGTAAACCTTAATGATGAAACTTTGGGAGTACATTCCTTTGCCCTTTTATAATCCACATAATGGTATAAAATACATTGAAGATGTTCTAAATAGCTGGTGATCCTGCCAGTTCCCTTGGCTTTCTGTAGTTTTCTGACCATGCTAACCACGGAAGCAAAATCATACTAGCGTGGTTTAAATCTTCTCTTTTCATCTCCCAATAAGGCCTTGTTCACACCAAATGCAGAGCAGATCTGCATGAGTTTCTGAACACGCAGTGCAGTGGGTTGTGCCGCGTTTTTGATGCGTTCCGGGGCGTTTTTGGTTAAAAAAAAGAATATATATATTTTTTTTAGTTTAAAATGGGCTTTCAGTGCGTTCCAGGGCGTTTGCATGTGTTCCAGAGCAGTACCTGCTGCAGTTTTTTTAACTGCTCTGGAACGGAATGCTGCGATGTGAACTGGAGCTAAAAATACAATTGGAATACATTGGATATGCCAATATAAATGAATGGCACAGCAACACTAACGCATGTGACATGAGTTGCGGTAATGCATGCATAACTGCATCATACTGCTGCACAAAAATGTGTTTGGGCCCTTATGGCTTCATTTACATTCTGACCTGTTCAGCTACGTGTAATTTGATTTGTTTATTGTATCTATTTACAACATAGCAGTAGATCACTTTGAAAATAATGGTTTATAAACTTGAGCACTCCACCTGCTGACTACAAGTGGTAAATATGACAAAAGCACAATATGTAAAATATGTTAAAATAAGTACATTTAAATAAACCAATATATTGTGCAATAAAAAAGGAACAAAATATCTCTTTATGCCGTACAGATGACATTTGAAATGGTGTAGTCTGCAATATGAATTATCTAATACATTCCAGAATTCTGTTCCTCATTCAGTTATGGAGTTCTCTTATGTTTTCCACGCTGTCTTGATAAAACGTTCCTGAATCATGGTGTGATTTGTGTTTTGTGTTCTAGGCAGATGTTGTTTTTCCTAATCGAAGGGCACTGATAACAGGAGCAAGTGGTTTGTTGGGCCGCGCTGTGTACAGAAAATTCAAGGACAACAACTGGCATGTTTTGGGATGTGGATATAGCCGGGCGCGGCCTCGCTTCGAGTATCTTAATTTACTAGACACATCTGCTGTGAAGGAGTTTATCCGTGAATTCAAGGTAACATACCATTGTTTTCTATTACCAGAATGTGTTTAACAAGGACGTTTAAAGCATATTTAGAAAAAATGTGAACACTCATTATACATGGATCTTTTACTACGTACAATGTTTCAGATATTACAGCAGTAAAAGTGCACAAAGATCATGCTCACAAATGTGGCAGCACAGTGACTCAGTGGCTACCACTATTGCCTTACTGCACTGGGGTCACTGGTTTGAATCTAGGCTTGGACTATGTGCATGGAGTTTGCATGTTCTTCTTGTGCTAGCGTTCATTCCTCCAGGTATTCCGGTTTCCTCCCACACTCCAAAGACAAAAAAACTGGCTGCTGTCTGAATTGGCCCTAGTATGTGGATGTATGAAATGTGGACCTTAGATTGTAAGCTCCTTGAGAGCAGGGAATCATGTGAATAAACTGTAATATAAAGCGCTGTGTAAATTAACCCTTTCCTGAACAATGATGGGATTATACCGTCACAATCGTTCAGTTAATTAACAACCAGTTAATCCTGTAATGCGGTACAATGAGGGCTGGTCCGTAGAGGGACCAGCATTGAGTTGCTGCTGTTGCTTGGTCCCTTGGAGTCCAGAGCAGACCCTCAACAGCAGATGAGGTGGTCCCAACACCGTGATCACTGCCATTACTGTGATCACAGACCCGGCAGCAGCTCACTGTTGGGCAGCTGCGAGTCGGCTGTGTTACAAATTGAAGCAAAGTATCTCTGAGAAGAATACTGAGAAGAAAAACCCCCAGTGCCCCCTAGTTTTAAAAAAAAATGAAAAAAGTTTGTCAAAAAAGTAAAAAAAAAGTCAGTTTAAAAAAAAAATAATTTTCATAAAGAAATTATAAGAAAATATATTGCTGAGGAGGCTATTAACCAGTTGCCGTCCGCCCATAGTAAAAAAAATACGGGAAGCCGGCGAATGCTTCCCAGCGGGTGGACGTACATGTATGTGATTTGTTTTTTCTGCTTGTGTGCTCCCGTGCAGGATCCCACTGGAAATCTTAAAAGCCGTTACTGGCTGTTACATACAAGCGTTCAGCCAGCCAATCGCTTGTATGACTGCATGTGGTGTGCAGCGCTCCCCCTACATTGCCTTGCTCTCCCCCTGCATTGCCTTGCTCCCCCCCTCCCTGCCGGTTAACCCGGGCTCCGCTGTCCCCCCTGTGAGCCCAGGACCGGCACAGCAGCTGCCTGTACAGAGAACGGAGGAGAGATCAGCATTCCGTCACGGCTGTTCTCTCCTCCTCTCTCTCTAAAAGCGGAAGCGATGTGTATTACATCACTTCCACCTTTTTGGCTGTCATTTCTCGGGCTGCTACAGCCAGAGAAGAAGCTGGTGAAGCAGATCTTCTTTTGGGGCGTCCCAAGGTGATGTCTCCATCAAGAGGTACCAGTCACTGTATATTATCACAGGGCTCAAAATTTCCACTCGCCCCCTCGCAATTGGCGAGTGAAAATTGCGTGGGGGCGAGTGGAAATCCAGGGGGGGGACTTCCGCCGCTTCGGCAGC